AATATACTTTTGAACTATAACTAGAGAACGCATTTGTTAATATTTTACTTTCTTTCTTGTTGTTTGTTTAAGGTATTCAATCTTACATTTCCTATTAACGGTAATTTTCTTACAAATCTAACCATTTGAAACAAACTTGGATATCTTGTTCTCAAAGATTTCAGACTTGGTCTCCCGGGTGATAAATAATTCAACTTGGTTGTTGTACCGCCAGAAAGGAGCAGTGCGAGCTACTGCAAATGGATAGATGATCGCGAGGATGAGTATGGGAATAACTTCCAGAATATACAGCCCCTGTATCTTGTCTAGTTCAACGGGCGATCTTGAATCTAGTCATCTTATTTTTCATTGTGATTCTCTTTCCTAGCCTCATTTAGTTTTACGATTTGCATTGCAGGGCATAAGCCATGATAGTGTAGGTAGTTGGGACCTGCTCTTAAGTAGGGCTATGAATAACTCTCTTAACCAATCTATCGATTGGAAATGATTCCCAATGAGATTGGTATAACTTAGGACTAGCTTCTGTGAAAAAATAGAGATTGAGTGCCAAGGAAGACAACAGAAGACGATTTATGAGGAACTAAGTGGCTTTGATGCCTGCAGGTGAGTAAGATCTTGGAAGTGGGTTTGGTCATCCAAGGCTGTCCTGGGTAGTCCAGGTCAAACTTCTTGAAAAGTTGTCACTATGGAGAGTCATCCGAAATATCTTTATTGTATCACAGCGTTTATAAAACATCCCAGTTACCTACGACCTACCACTAGTTCGATAATATCTTATTCGCTAAATCCCACACTATCTCTTCGGGCCATAGATCCTACCTAAGTTAATCTGGTTCAGTACGAACATTTACACCATTTTAAGATACGGCTCGTTTTATGAAGCTACGACTGAAGATGCGAAAGTAGGCATCAAAGGAGACGCCAAAATTCTAAACCAGCTTTCTTCATCGGGCAGAAGAGCCCAGCAGAAACGAATCAAAATTGCACTGGCATCTCTCGACAGTGTAGCAAGAGATCTGCAAGCTCGCAAAAACGATCAGGGTTGCAGTGGGGGTGGAGCTGCCCAGCAGCAGAGAGGAGCAGGAGAAATATAACCGTATTATGGGTGCACAGGCATCTGGTCCATGGAAGGCTGTGTAAAAGCTTCGAGCAATAGCCGATCGTATTTTTCTTTGTCTTTGACTTTTTGCTGGATGAATTTGGCTGCATTGACTGTCCAGTAATCCATAGTGATACGGAAAAATGCTGCATCGTTTATATGATCTTTTGAGAACCGTGGTTGCATGTGGTCGTAAAAGATTTGAAAAAGTCCAGTCGGACTATCAAGTGCAAGGGCGTACCAGAATGTGCCTTTATCCCACCCTTCTTGGAGTATGGTGTGGAGTTGTTACCCAGATTGACGAGGATACCTTGGTATCTGCTCTGCGAAAGCCTGCATGAATTCCTCATGAAGGTTCTCGTATTCGCCAAGGTCAATCCCATCAACAGATTGGTTACTCAGCCAATACGGCGGATGAATCATTTCTGCTGGACGAGAACAGGCCCATTCCAGGTCAACTAGGCACGTAATATTCCAGTTATCATCGACAAAGATGTTGCTTTGATGGAGATCCGTAAAGCTCATGAAAAAAGGGCCTCGGCGAAGATCAGGGCGGAAGAATATGTGTCGAACAGCTCTCATCACTGTTAAAGCAGCCATCTGGAATAAACCGTCTTGAACATCATTAACCGCATTAAGTTGATGACGGAGGCGGCTTTCATGGAATGCGAGGATGTCATTGATATAGGCGTCTACAGAGGAATACGTAAAGTCGCGCGGGATATCCACAGGAACATGCTCATTTTCAAGATCCTGAATTTCAAGGGTAAGCGGCCTGTTACTTAGTCTTAGATACCCTTTCTCGTCCACAATGAAAGAACCGATTTTGGGTAAAGGAGTACGTGTAACAGCCAGCGTGATGTTGGACAAGTTTCGGAAAAAGTTTCTTCGTAATCGAGCATTGTGCCGTCCTTGGTCCCATGACTCAGACAGCATTTTGCCCCGTGACGCATCGATGTATTCAATAAGGAGATACCCGACTCCTAATGGCTCGCTCAACTTGCTGTTGTGAACAACATACTTGGATGGTACTGGGTACCCAAGAAGTCTTAAAAAGTGGCAGCGGAAGAATTCGATGGTACGAGCCAAGAAAGGCAGGTTTTTGAGAGCAGTAAACTAATTCTTAGCGAAAGCTGGTTAGAAAAAAAGAGGTGTACTTACCTTTTGGCCTGTTGATAACCCGTATCCATGTAGTTGTGGGATCGGGACTTCTGGGCAGTTGTGCTGAAGCCAGGTATAGGTACCAACTTCACAGAGGATTTTCTCATCAGCGTTCCCTAAGTTCACATTCTCTCCCACCCTGTGTGGCATCGGAAACCGAAGTAGAAAACTGGGACCCTGTTTGCTGTTACCAACATAGATTGGGATGCAAACATTGAAGGTCCCAGAGAGCCATTCATTTGGATCAGCAACGTGACAGCTTGTTGGAACCAAGTTGAGATGATGTGCAACCACAGCTTCAATAACATGGCTCTTCTGGAGCAAATCCTCGAAATACTTATTCTGTTGGTCCAAATAGCCCAACGATGTCAACACATTGGTTTCTAGTTCTTTTGCAGCAGAATATGTAATCTCGCCACGGAGTAGATGACGGGTGTATGTTGTAGATGGCAACATGAGCAGTGATCTGAATGGAATTGCTGGCGAAGATGATTTTAACTGAAAAAAGATGCCAGGTCCTGTATTGATTGCGTTCGAGATCTGGTGCCCTTTGTACAGCAACTTTGGAACCACGACCCGATAACAGCGTGTGTTATCTATCGATCCCCTTTCGCAGCGTGCCATGCCTATTTTGGATATCACGTGTCCTAAGTAGGAAGCGGCCTAAACCAGATTGGGACTGCTCTATATAACATGCGGTTTCATGAAGATGGCGCTATCCATGGATGTTTGCCTCTGTTTCCCCTACGCCACTTTGGTTCCTCCGATCATTGGACAATAGTGATAAGATATCACTGGCCATTAGACAATAGCCCGTCACAAATATGTGTGTTTTGACTTTACTAGGTATGTCAAAAATATGTTCAACGTCCCCTGAGGTTGAAAAAAAGAAACCCCGGAATTTGGACGGTAATATGAAGCCTAAAACATCATGTAAGGGTAGCTACCGAATGCACCACATTCTTTGAGGAACGGATTCATAGTAGTAAATATCTTCAGGTGCCTCACTTCGGATTCAGCCGAGTCTCTTATATGATTCCAAGATTAGGTTTCGGGTCCACAACGTTATCGTGACTCTTTAGGGCTTGGGCCCACAGCAATACGAACCTTGGTGCTTGTTTATACCATATCAACAACACATGTATAGTTAATAGTGGATTATTATAACGGATAAAGGATGTTCCGGATCGGACAAAATCAGGAACGCCGACGTCGGCATACTTTGATTCGACTATTCTATATTGGTCTTGCATCTTTATACCTCAATTTCATTGACTTATACCAGGGAGACCCTGGGATTTTCTCTACGCTATTTAAAAACGGTGTACACCTAACTCACCTCCATGTGTATACCATTAAATTGATCCGGTCCCTCTTTTTTTTTTTCCAATTCTCTTATTTCCTCGCGCTTAGAAAAAGAACTATTGCATTTGGTTCCTGGAGGAATTGTCAAAATCCAGTACCGCAAGGTCTTCATATCCAAAATGACACAAAGTCAGCCGACACTTCTACCACCGGATATCATGGAATCACAATTATCCATGATTGATCTCCTTACAGCTATGTTCCCTTCACCAGGCGAACTTGACATCCCAACATCAACAGCCCAATGCGTCGAAAAGCTCCGGGACTGGTGTCAGGACCCAGCCATTGAGCTCTCTGGCATGCCATCAAGCTTACTCCTCGCTGTGTGTCTACCTATCGTAGAAGGAGAGAAAACAATCCAAGTCAACATCTCGATTCCCCTGCAAGGCGAGGGTCCCGAGATTGAACAACCACCGCCATTGAATTATACGCTTCGACAACCAGACTGGATGTCCAAAGCCGAGGTTGCGGGACTGGCCGCCGCAATGCCCCAAGATGATGTGCTCGAGGCATTTGAATATGTTCGCGAGGAAGCGCTCCGTTTCCTTGAAACAAGACAGACGTCCGTTTCTGAGGCTGTGGCGGGTGATGCGGAACCCATCGTGCGAGTTTGGTTCTACTTCCCGTCGCTGTCGACTCGAGAAAAGAGGGATGATATGGTTAACAATGCGCCGGCCTATTCTCTGACTGGTTTTGTGTTGGCCGGTAAGCCTGGGGTACTGTGTCTGGAGGGTGGGTCGGCGGATATCGATGCTTATATGAGGTTTGTCAAGACACACTCGTGGGGCGATATCCCCAGTCATCAGAAAAAGGTCAGCGAGAGGTTTCGGGAGACGGAAGGTGTTCAGAGGGTGTTCTCGGGGATGCAGGAAATTACGGATTCTCTCGGTGAACGGAGTGGTCAGAGAGCTAATAGAGGTGATATGCAGGCGTTAGAGGCATGGCTGCGGGATAGAGGGTTACAAGAAGCATTTGAGAAAGTTATATTTTGAATGCCTTGAGAAGTTATGAATGATGATGTGATTGAAGCTCCCGAGGCCGTGTAAATTATGTTTTTTCAGGCATGATGTGCCAATGTACAGAGTAAGCCATGAATTTTACCATTGGTGTAGGGGTATCACACAGTCCATATGCTGAGGTTTTGCGAAGACTCTAGTCTGAAAGCTTAAGTATTCAAACACGAATTTCCATTCGATCATAGAGTCCTAGGGCTCGAGCTCTTTGCGAACTGTTCAAGGCATCTCGAGGGATAACAAATGCATAATGTCATTACCGCACACCGTGAATCACAAATAGAGAATATTTGAACATGGTGGAGATTGACAAAAGAGAATCGGCAGCGAGGTTGCCTGAACGCCTAATTGTGAAGCATTGAGCAGTGTGAGATTTATTGACGTCCAGCCCTAGTCCAGGTAAAAGACGGGGATTGTCAACAACCTGCAACATAAAGTTCCTCAATGTTTCTGCAGCAGAAGCGCATAGACCGCTGGTTAACTATTGAAGTCTATTATACCCCTTGTTACAGCTAGCCAATCTCTAGTAACAAATGTTCTGATTGACGGCGGGCACATTGTGCCGAGGGCAGTGGAAGTAATACAACATGGACATGTAACCTGCAGAATACGCTGTTCAGCATGGAGAACAACTCGTTAGTGTATGCTCAGAGCGTCCACTTTTCAGGCAGTGGGAGAATGTTGATGCAGTATTTCAATATGTTGCAAAATGCCTAGCGCACCCTGTCATATGATTCAGACCTGGTAGGCACTTATATTATATCCAGAGTATTTCACGCAGACCGCTATTTTAAATAGCAGAGTGGAAATATTGGTATTAGTTGGATCTTTGTATAGAAGTCAAATTATAGCTTGCTACTGTTACAATCATATCCTCTGGAATGCTGTCTTTGCCTCCACACCATATCCAGGAGGGGAGATCAAATGAGTTTTCTGGCCCAAGTATTGATACGTGAGAGACGATGAACATATCATAGCTGAGGCCTTTCGAGCTCCATGCAAACTCAAATTAGTAGGGACTCCTATCCTCAGGCTCTCAATCCCTGTCCCAGGAGCAGCCAAGGCAAGGCCACCTCTAGTAGGCGATCGGAAGAGATTAACTTCGCAGCTTCCAATGAGCTTAGCCCACACATTATACAGAAAATGTTGCAAATCCACTGCGGCAGAAGAAATTATTAATGATTGCCGTTTATATATTTAACCGAAAAGGCCAACTCACCATGTAAGAAGCATGATCCGCTGGCTTGTTCCGCATGGTCATAAACCGGTACGAGACCAGCACATGCAGCCCAGCAAGAGTCCAGGGTGCTAATTGAGCCATGCCAGTATACCACAAGGACATATAACCCAGTGGCATACAGACAAAGGCAAATAGGAGTCTACCATTGCCATCGCCAAGAGCAATTGGAAGTGTCCAGCTTCCGGTCTCCTTATCGCCATCAAGATCTCGGAAATCCTGTGCATAGAGGACGAACCCCACCCACAATGCTAGAGCAAAGACGTGATTAGAGGTATTAGGTAGGGAGGTACCCATGAGCTTCCGTGGCGAGGAGTACAACCCCCACGTCATAGCCGACATGCAGATAGTATTCTTGACGAACCAGTGCCGTCCAAGACTATTCCTTCCCAAGGTTATTGTGGCGAGGACTAGGATCCAAGCTTCAACAACCAAGTCGGGACGGTAAATGGCAAAACTAAACCAGAGTGCAGTCAGTACCATCCCACGGCGTTTAGCGCCAGCTGTAGTAGTAATGCCGGCTGGGATGGGTCGATCTGGTTTGTTGATTCATCGACGCTCGTATAATAAGTATTGTGGGTGGCGGACAGTGGAAGTCAGCTTGGGACACTAGTTTAATCTCCGAGTCCACTTGAGGAGGCTTGGTGTCTGGACTAGCTGTCACTAGTTCCACTTTAGCAGAGCAAGGTCTCAGATCTTCTTTTCTGTCTCAACCCAGAGAATTCAGGAACCGGCGCCATCGCAATTTCTTCCTTGGTTAGTCACAGTAGCAATTCATCACGTCATGTAGTGATTGCGTGCATGTTGTATGGTATAGGCTGCACTCCGCCAAAGTCTCGTGACCTGTGTTAACCTATCTGCTCCATGTAGGTTATAGCCAAGTGCGAACCCTGGCATCTCACTGTTACGTTTACCCGAGTATGAGGTACTTTTTGTACCATTTTTGTATACTTATTTGATTCGATTGTAATCAGACTGGACCAGTCGGTGGTTTACTAATGACCTAGTGCTCTGGGAGTGGGGCAATGAAAAAAAAATACTGAATTGGACAACAAATGAAGCTAGGGCCAAACGTTTGGGGGCGAATAACATCAGCGGCAAGCGCATAACACGGACACTCGCCATGTACTTAAATTTTATTAAACCACTAGCCCACTCCGGCTCCAAATTTCGACCCTGCTTCTTGCTCTTCGCAATCCATTCATGTTACTCAGTCAATCATCATGTCATCTGTTGGCAGTGTTCTCATACGTCGGGGCGGCGAGTTGATTTCCGCTCGGCTTCAATCCCGCCAACAGCCTGCAACGCAATTGCTGGGCTTCCTAGTTGTCATTTTTACGGTCCTTACATTTAGTATGGCAATATTCTGGGTGAGTCGGTATGAGTATTAGGGATAGCAACTATTGAAGCTCATCAAAGATCGGGGATAGGTTGACTATACCTGCACCCAGGTTATTGGGACTCTGGCCGCGATCGAAGGCTCGAACCCCAATACCTATATTCGCCTCGATCGCGAAGATTCTAACGATCCCTCCGAACCTCATGATCCCGAGACCATGGCTGCATCACCCACTAAGCCCATCACTAGCGGGTTACGCTCGGCCATTAACCACCTACGCGCCCGTGGTGGCATCTGCTCGTGCTTCCGTGGATTTCGTATGTATCTGGCCTTCACAACCCTCGACATGGGTGTGGGCTTTCTACTTCCAGTGACTTTACCGGTTCCAATCAACTCTCCCATCAGTTCATTTCTGGGGCTGTTCGTCGTTAGCATGTTTCTGGCTACTTGGCACATGGCTTGGGTTCATCTTGTGATCGCCGATCAATCTCCAAGGAGCTCCTACCGGCGTATGCTTGGCCTCCGGCATTGGCCTAGAACTGCTCCTGCGGCTGCTTTGTACAATTTCCTAATGTCCGTGACTTTCTCTCTGCCTACAGCCGCTGCAAGGCTCGCTGGCGGCACCGTCATGGGCGTTGCTGGCAATTGGAAAGATACAGGGCGTCTCGATTTCATAGTCATTAGCATTCTCTCCGCTATATTTTATCTATTGGCTTCTATTCCCGCCAGAGGAATATTCACTCGTGTGGCTGCCTCTATGCTGCCCGAGGAGGATGACCCTATCGTGCCTTTCGACCGGCTTTTTGGCGGCAAGGTGAAACCCGAAAATCTGGGTGGCAGCGGCAGGCTCAGCATTCGAGATGCCTGGACTAGCTTTGAATGGGGGGCTCGCATTCGCTACGTTAAAATCATCCTGAAGGCTTTTGCCATTGAGGTTGCAATAGGTGTAGTTGGGATCCTTTTCTTCGGCCTAATTTAGATTTGCGATTGCATCTTCATCACGAAGGATTCCCAGTACTCGCAATCTATGCCCGTTCGCCAGACCAGATACGTTTTCCACGATGTTATTTATACTCCAGCTCGCGTCAATATCACACAGGGCGGAAAATTCACCGGAATACTACCATGGCCGTCTCCTCTCATGACAGCGACACTTCTCGCACCATAACGACCCTTACGCATTGCCTGAGGTACTCCGCTCATCTCCAAACTACGGTAAAGCGATGGACAGGATCAGGAGAACTGCTTGTTTGGGTGATGCAAGGTTAGTCAAGGACATGCCCCACCAATCTATTGGACCGTGCTTTTGCTCAGCTCTTTTTGCAAAGGCATATCTTAACCGCTGAAATGCCTTTGCACACCCCAGAACTACGTCAGTTGAAAGCTGACTATAGCACAGTTGCCGCTTGGATGGTCCGTGTTATCCTCTATCAGCAGAATACCTGTGGATGTCCTAGACGAATGGGCTCTCTGGAATAGTGTAAACTGCCTTCTCTAGTGGGTATTTCATGATTATACTTTGATCTCATTCTCACGAGAGGCATAGATCTTTAGCTGAACAACATGTTCAAAGCAAGACTAAAAGAGAAAGAGCTAACCGTGAGTGATCTGATTCCTCTCGATGGTATCTCTCTCAATTATAAACAACGGAAAGTTTCTAAAGGGAATTAAAAGTCTTTCTCGGATCGTCCACGGCTCTCGCGGATTTTTAATTTTGGCTATTTTTACCACAGCACTGGGTATACACTCTCGTTAGCAGAATCTGATATAAACAACGTAACAAATATAGTATACATGTTTAATATAACCGACAAGACTTATCTATCTTAATATTATACCCTTCGACGTGCTTGTTGACTTTGTATTCTGCAGTACCAGATAGTGGTAGCACTATCTTGATAAAGCTCGTAAGTTAAAGTGATTTCTCCGAGTATAGTGGAATTTCTATATCAAAGATGGGATCAGAGTATTCCTACTAATAAGCTCACATGTCTATGCGGAAGATGGCATGTTAGATGCACACTCCATGCAATACTACTCAAAGAGACGAATCTGATTTCTGGCGGATTACCTAGATTAAATAGCGAATCTATCTTCTAAAGATAATCTAATTGGACCTACTCTCTCTTCATAACTAATTAGCGATTTACTTGATCTCTTCGCCTCATTCAAATCGCCGGCCACAAGTATTGTCGATCTGAGGGCCTCTAGCAGTGCCATGCAATCTCCTAGGAGCTATTCAGACCATGTAACATGCAAACTGTCTCCGACCTCAGCTTCATTCTAGACAATGTATGATGTAAGAACCAAACTCGTGCATTTCCTGACTCTGCATCACTACTCCAATATGTAGAACAAGAAAAGGACCAAACTGGCTGTTGCCACCACCCAGCACTACCAAGCACATTTCCTCGATCACTGCAATCCACCGATATGTGCTTTACTCAATTCTCAGTACAACTCTGGCCGCACTCCTACAACGCTTTCTCAAAAGCCTTGACATATTCTTCACAGTCGTTCCGTTTGCCCTGCCATTTGTTGCCGTTATTATCGCTAACCTTGGTAGCTTGAATGAACCGTTAGCTTTCAATCGTCTTCTCTTCTTCCCCCAAAAACAAAAGGACTGCGGACAACCTACCGGCCGTATTAGCGTGAGCAGCCTTTTCTGACCACTTTCCGTCGACCTCCTTTAAGTGCAAATACTTCATTGTCTTCGGGGAACCCTTGGAATCCTTGGGATCCTTGGGCTCCCACTCAACGCCCTCCACCGAGGTTCTGTACCATGCCCTTTGACCGCTACCCTCCAGATCAGCACGCAAGTGGTACATTCGACCCTTAAAGTCCAACTTGAAAACCTCTCCCTGTTTGATCTTCACAACCTCGCCGACAACAATAGCAGTATGATCAAATCCATATTCCTGTTGAGTCTTTTTCATTTCTCTCTGGATGGGATATGTAGTCTTAGTCGTTGAACCGGCCGCGCCGCTGGTCCAGGTGACCTTGAAGGAGTAGGATTTGCCCAGCTGAAGTTTCTGCTTGCCCAGACCCTTCTGGGTTTTCTTGAAGCGGTCGGTTTCATCGTGGTTTGCGCGCCTTTCGATGTCGGAAGCAGAGTCAAGTGTGCCACTGCTGATGTCCTGAGGGACGTGCTGGATATCGTTGAAAGGGGTAGTGGGATGGGCTCTGAGACCCACGGCAAGGGTAGCTAGAACGATGGAGAGGATCTTGGAGAACTTCATCCTGGCTGTTGAATACTCTGGTAGTTCACAGATATGTTGTTGCCTTTGAGAAAGACGAGGAAGGAATTGAGAGGAGAGGATTTATGTTGCGGTTGATGGTATATTGACTGCCGTGCCATTGTACCTCTATTTATCTGTTTCCACTCTCCCTACAGCTGTTGAAAAGATCTATACAAGTTCCTCACGCCAAAGGCCAGGCCACCAACAATTGACAGGGATTGAGTCCGTTCGACCGAGGGTTGTGGTTTGATGCTCACGATGATGTTTCATGCTGACAGTTGTCTGTTAGCACTTAGTGGGGGCGAAGGGCCATGAGTCCTACAGAGTATACTTATTTTAAGGCTATATTGGACCTATTCTATACCTTATCCTGGTTTTAGTCGAAAGGCCGAAGTTTGACAGTGCACTGGGAGTTAGTATGGCGTTCGGCCCCATCAAAAGATCTACCGGGATGAACCGTGATCGCCAGGGTTTCCGTCCTTCCATGTGGGGGTCAAATGTGAAATAACGACAGTTATATGGCAAAGAGCATGGCATACGTAGAGGCCAACAATAATAGCAACTAGGATGCCGCTCCTTAAGTTCTGTATGATAAGCACAGGAGGTAATTGTAAGCTTAACGGACGCCCCTTCTCATTAAAGTCGTCCTCTTATCCTAAACCTATAGGGCGTACTGATATAGGAAAAAGTGGGGGTTGGGAGCAGGCTTTTTGGCCCCGGATCAGGCAGAGACGTCGTTGTGACTTCAGGACGAAATAAATAACCGGACCATGGACGTTTCTTGCCAACCTCCTCTTTTTTCCTCACACTCTATCATTCCTCGTTCCTCACGATATTTCTGTTTTGTGTCTTTTCTCCCCCACCACTCAAGATGGACGAACCTATCGACCTTGACAATCCCAATCACTACAAGAAAATTGACGAGCTGACTGCTCAAGGCCTCCTGGATCGCGATGCTGTATTATACAAGCTGACCCGGAGAATCTGCAAGTTTGGCGTTCTCGAATCAGAAAAAGAGCTGCCACACCTGCGCAGGACCTTTGACTCTCTGGCTGTCGAGGAAAACGGCATCCAGGTACTCACTCAATCTGCATTCCTCTCTTTCCTTGAGTCTACCGGCTTTCTCTCTCCGTCCATGAGAGAGGCGGGTGCACTCATTTATCGCAGTCTTCTATACCTATCTCAATACCCATTTCATCACCCGATCCCTAATTCCCTCACCTATATGGGGTTACTTCGTGCACTCGCGTGGACCATGCCAGGCCGGGTGAGGCCGGTCCATGAAGCATGTAGATGGAGTCGAAGCCGATCACCAGCAGATTCTAGAAGACAATTTTTCCAAAGCTTGGCAACAGCTCGAGATGGCAAGTCTATCCCATTCGATGCAGAATACGCCAAGGCTCAGGCCCAGCGGAGAGCTTCTGATTTCACCTGCGCTAGTCATGATTGCGGTGACCTTACATTCCCTAAAACGAACTACGATGATCACGGAGATGAGATGTTCCACGACATCCTTGATGCGCTGTTCAGTATTCAGCCTCAAATAATTTGGCTGGTGCCATCGCCTCGAGACTGCTTCCGGGCGACAGCGAGGAAGCTAGCCAGTGACGAGCGCCTTCATGACCTAAGCATCCCCCAGGACCAGTTTCGAGCTGTTGTGAAGTTGCTGGTGACGACATTCTTTCGAAAACCACAAGTTCCAGTCGAGCAGCTGGTTGACCTGGACGATGTTGTCGATTGTATGGTCGGCCCTGCTATCCAAAGACCCGATACCGGGATTACCTGGGATATGTATGACCAGGCGGCTCGTAGCGGGATGGTAAGTCCGCTTCCGCTAAAGCTTTGATTCGATTGAGTGTGGAACTGATTCGTTTAGCCCATGCTTGTGGATGGTCTAATGCGCCTCTTGACCCCGTTCTATAGAGATCCCGAGGATAAATCCTCCACTTTGGACATTCCACAGTCAGGAAAAGTAGCGACTTTCGCTGTTTTTGCTCAGATGGCCTCCCTTCGAATTCTTGCCGTCACGCGAGAGCTTCAACAATACGTGTACTACGATTTGAGAACTACGTCCCTCACAGCTTCGACGATAGCAGACAGACTAAATGCTTATCCCGAGGCTGCAATTGTCCTCCTTCTCTCCGGAAAGAACTCGGAGACAGGAAGGAAGACCATCTTTGGCTACTATATACCTCGTGTTGCGTACGGAAATACACCGTTCTTGTTCCAGCTAAGTGATATCCAGGATAGCTTCCGTGGAAATGGCCCCCGACCAGGACACGAGTTGGATGGAGGAGAGCTTGTTATCGGTCAAAGAGGAAATGGTGTTGTGGTGATGTTGCGGCAAGATGCGAAGAGGGCGATTGTATCCCACAATGTGTCTGATCAATCCCAGCCGATGTATGCCGCTAACACCTGGAGGGGGGACTGGCAGATGGAGTTTAAGGTGGAGGAGATAGAAATGTGGCTTGAGGATGGAGACACGGAAGGGGCAACGAGAGAGGGGGACGAAGGCCAGTGATAATGCTATACGGTATACAGTTGTTTACACTCACGATGAGGCATGTCTCGCTCATCCGGTGTTTTGACAGTGGGAAAATGATATGGGGGTCTATTTTTACTTGGATATTATTCGTTGGCCCTACAAGGCGTCGTAGTTTGTAGAGCAGTAGGGTAATTCTCTCCCTTGGCTGAGCCGAGCGGGCAGGATACCCTTCGCTCCATACCCTATGGTCGAATTTGACTACAGCGTCTGATCTCTTTACCCTTGATTCCTTTGTTCCCGGGGAGTATTGGTAGGGCCTTAGTGCCACCTACATGCTGAATATAAGCTGCCTCTAGCGTTCAGAGAAAACAAAATCAACTTTGATCGGCTGGTGGCTTATGCCCGATGTTCCATTTTAATCCAAGTCCGACGCACGAATCTTCATCCACAAATAGCCTTGACGCGTATATACAGAGTGAGAAAAGCAAAGGTTGGAATAAATAGGAGACAGATGTAGAGACAGCTAAAGACATGCAAAACACATATATGGCCTTAGACACCATGCTGTTGATTACTCTATGTCAAACCATTTATCTTGCAGAAGCTCCGCCGCAGAAGGCCTCTCCCTAGGATCAAGCTTCATAATTCGCAGAATAAATTCCTTGTCCTCCTTAGCGAGCTCCTTCTCCGAAATTCTGGTAAATGGCTTTTTCATTTCGGGTGCGATACTTTTCATAACCTGAATCAGCAGATTTAAAGTATCCTGGTCGCAGAGCTCCCGATATGCCGGAGGGAAGGGCCCAAAGAACTGGCATTGTTTTTGTAGTATCTTAAATTCATACTCATCGTCATCTGCAGGGACATTAGGCCTGAAGAGGAAGAAGTTATCCCCGTAAAGTAACGATATGAGCTCAAATAGCTTTAGTAAAACATCACTAATAAAGGGATTGTCGTGTTGAACATACCATTGCGCCAAAAGACCATATATCTGTTGCCGTGCCCCAGCTAAGCCTGAGATGTGCTTCAGGGCTCCTCCATATAGGTGCTCCAATCAAGTCGCCATCCTTAGCATATGCTGAATCTGCAGGCACAGTGCTTCCGCAGTCTGCTAGTTGCACACTTTTGAATTGTGTGGTTCCCCGGCCATAGTTCACGAGGATATTATCAGGCTCTATATCTGTAATTTCGTTGAGGATCAATACTGTCATCGAGGGAAGTTGTGTATACCTGTATGAACGAAGTTGTGCTCATGTAGAGCCTGTAAAGCCACTAGAACACTTCTTGCGACTAGTTTTATTTCCTTGTTAGTAAGCCTCTGGGACGCAGAGGCATTAAGAAGGTGGTCGTTTAGATGCTTCAACACTATGGCTGGTGGGTCTGACGGCTCAGCAATTTCGTTGATTAAGGGTCGTAGAAAAGGGGTACGGTTTTGAAAGCGCTTTAATACATCTCGTTCATTTTGGAGACGAAAGTGGTTGACGCTTTTGATGATTACCGATTGCTCTTGCCCACCCTTGCTTAAGCTGAGTTGTGGACCGACTTTCTTCGTCAGAATATTTGGTTCATGCTTAGCAAGCCACACGGTTTCCTGGAGTTGTTTGCAGATGGTGTATAAGCCATGTTGGCCTCGAAGGGTTTGACCTAGTCGAACGGAAGAAGCCATCTATACGTAAAGAAGACATCACACTGGTTCAAATACAATAACAACGCAGATAACAGTCCATGGAATGTTTTATTAACTCTCAGCCTGATTTACCAATTGCCGATCCGATACAGGATCAACATTCAATTCACGAGGCCAAATACAAGGGATCGACGCAGAAGGTACTGATTGCCTGTGGAAAGCTACGAGGTAAGGCCTTTTCTTGTGCTACTGGAAATGGGGTCTTATTATCTGGGAACCGCTGGACTACCAGAGTCGAGTACTAGAGAGTGAGAGATATCAGCCAGGTTATACCAACACCAATAAAATCCCCAAATGCAGATCACCAGCAATACTCGCTCATACTAGGGGGTAAGTCCTCGATCCTTGTTCCCCAGGTGCTTTCTTTGTCGCCCAATGTAATTTCAAGAGTTCCGCCCTTGGTGAAAAAGTCATGCCCAATCCAGTTCCTTGTCCACGCTTTGCCGTCGCGGGTCACATTCTGTATATAGATGGACTTGTACATCGGATCGAAATTGATGTTTCGAATTGTTGCAACGTTGCCGGTGATTCTGTTCCGGATACTGGCTTCCTTGAAGAAAGGTGCAGAGATGAGATAGACATCCTGTCCGTGTACAGGATATAGACCTAGCATACTCAACACAGCAAAGGAGCCCATTGCCCCGCTGTCATCATTCCCAGGGAGGCCGCCGATACTTGTATTAAACAGGCGTGGGATATACGAGTGTGCGCGTTCGGTGGACAGGGCAGGTCGTCCGGCGTAATGGAATTGGAAAACGGGTAAGAAAGCCTGCTCGTTTCCCATGTTAAGGAGACCCGAGTCGTGGAAGAATGATAGACGATCAACAAATCTCGACCGGCCACCCAGAGCCGTGATCAATTTAGCCATATCCTGGGGCGCATAACTGTTATCAGGTCAGGTTAGTCAAATAGAATCTATACAGCTGGGGAATGGTACGTACAATGTATACAGCCAAGAGCTGCCTTCGTAAGTCTCTTTTGCATTTTCATCCATAAGGCAGGAGTCAGGTTGCAGATACGGACCGCAGAACATCGGATCTTGATATGCCCATGTACCATCCGCATTCCGGGGCTGGAGAAATCCGGTGAAGTTAAAACCACGCCAAGACGATGTCTGGTTCGGCTTGAAAATCTTCTCCCAGTTCGTGGCACGTTTCATATACTTTTTATAATCCTCATTGTGACCAATGTGCTTTGCCATCTGTGCAATGCAGAAATCATTGTATGCATATTCAACTGTTCGTGATATGCTACGGGTGCGAAGTCCCTTGGCAGTGGTATTGGAATCATGGATTGGGACATATCCAAGTGCCTTCCAGCTCTGCAGGCTGCCACGACCTTCCACATTAAAGTTCTCTGGCTCAATCTCAGCATCCTTTACCACAGCCTGGTAAGCCGTGTCCCAATCTACATCGAGAATGCCCTTGAGATAGGCCTCGGCAATGAGGACATCAGCGTTGGATCCGCCCTGCGTCAGCCCTTTACATAAAGACATACGACAGTCAGGTAGATATCCTTCGTGACGGTAGATATCCACAAGACTTCGAATCATCCGAGACTGGGAAAGAGGGTCCACCAGCGTGATGAGTTGGTGGATGCCACGGAACGAATCCCAGATACTATGCGGAGTTGTTAGTTTATTTTAGGGAAATGCGCAGGGAAAAGCCTTACTCACCAGTAAAAACTATCGTAATAGGGCTCATTGCTTTTCCATAGTGGGTTTTCCCCGGTATAGTCTTGTGGACTGATCATCGTACGATATATCCCGCTCCAAAAAACAGTTTGAAGCTCAGAAGAAACACCAGAAGCATCAAGACTGATAACGTCCATCTTCTCCCTCCACGCGGCTTTGGCTGTCGCCACGGTATCTTCGAAGTCAAAGTCTGGTTGTTCTTTTTCCGCATTGGAACAGGCCTGCTGAGCACTCATGAAACTTATTCCGACCCGCACATCAATCGTGCCATTCGCTCTGGGTGGCTTGAACCTGGTGAACACTCCTCCTGAGCCACTAGCCTTAAGCGAAACTGTACGCTTACCCGGCGTGACCTCATCATCCATCCAGACTCCAGTATCTCGGATTTTAGGGCCGCTGAAATCAGCACAAAAGTGAATTCTGTATGTTCCAATCCCATAACTAGGCTCAAAGGTCGCACTCCCAGTAAATCGACCAGTCCCTGGGTCTACCGACGTGGTGCCATTATGTCGTGAATGATGAAGGTCAGTCATATCGACTAGCACGACCGGATTGAGCGACTCGGGAGCAGCCTCTGGGAAGCTGAATTTATATAGAGCAGAATGATTCGTGACGGTCATTTCTGCATGGACTCCGTTGTCCAAGGAAATGCCAAAGTACCCGGGCTGGGCCTTAGGAGACCCTCGATCCCACCGGACAGCTCTATCCGATTCCTTCCAACTGCATCTCGTAAGGTTATCGTCAGGACAGCCAGGGTGGACAAAAATGGGGAAATTTCCCATTGACCCGGGCTACAGCCATACTTAGTAAATAGTGGTCCATGAATATACCGCAGACCATGACTGGACTTACACCCCCCGTTCCGGAATCATGTGTATGTGAAAAGCCAGTGACGAACGATGCGTCAGACGCGAAGCCCCCTTGGTTCGCACCATCTGTGTCTGCTACGGCTTTGACCATGCCTGGATCCTAGTTAGACGATAATTTATAGTGTTTTACGGGCTGGCAAGCATACCAAACGGCAATGTTGCACCAGGGAATGAGTGCCCTAGAATACATTTAATTCTTAGTGTTCACTTCTGGAATAGGCTTATGGCTTTATACCTCCATCTGATGTACCAATAAACGGATCGATGTAGTCGAAAACATCAAAGCTTGCTTTTCCATTGTCCCCTTGCCCATAGACAATAATAGGGCTGAGACACAGAAGCGTAGCGGCTTTCGAGAGCCTCCTCGACAGAAAATGAGATTTCATGCTTGACACATGTATCAGGGTGTTGAAAGTTGAAAAAAGCGACGCGGGTCTGAGAATAAGCTCGAGCAAAAAATAGGAACGAAGCCCGAGTTATAGCGGACTTGTCTTCCACGATTTCTCTTTAGCTAGATATTCAGGTAAATTCTTTCGTTTATTTAGTTTTTTTGTTTTTTTTTTTTTTTTTCCACGCCTATGTATGCAACCCAACAGGGCAGGATCCGTAGTTACCCTGAAAGAGGGGGGGCTTTTTTGACATGAGACAAGTTAGCGCCATGAGTGCGTAGGGCTTGAGCTATTTATTTTGACGTTGTGTCATTTATGGCAGCGGCGCAGTGCAGGTGCATGAATCCAATTACCGCACTTGTATACCCCTGCTATGTTGCATAGAATCGATTCCTTGGAAGATTACCGATTTGAGGCTGAAATTGATATTAGAAGCAATATACAGGGGATGACTGGCTTTACATCTGAGCCAGTGGTCTGCTACTCGTGGTGAAGGAAGTTTCATGACCCCGCTCAATTCAAGTCTGCTCCACGCCCATACCAAATATGACGCGACCATAATAGTGATCTCGATTGCTGGCTGGAGCACGGTTAAGGGGCCCAAGTGGGACAATTCATGTCGGTTCCCGGGCTGTGTAAAATTAGTCTTGGTCATGAGCCCAGCAAACCACGGCGAATGTGACATTTACATGGATAATTCGTATAATAACTAACTCATCAAACACACAAGGCAGACAGGTCATGTTTGGTGTCGGTGTTTCAAACCCTTGTATTTTATGCATAAGCGCCGGTCCCCGCAGGGCTCGAAGCCCTAAAGTAGAATGGCTCCAGCGGCGATTCCCAGCCTTTTAGTCCGAGGCAACGCTCGATCATGACTGTAAGCGCCCACTTAATTATATCACACCAGAATACCCCTCTCCGTATTTTTGCGAAGTTGACAGAATGCTGCTCAATCTCAATACCCCTCAGAAAGCCCTGCTGTGGCTCTTCATCCAGGCGGCCGTTCTACCGCCCACAATTGCTCGACAATGCTACTGGCGAAACGGCGCAAGTACACTGAATGAGCAACAGCCCTGTTTTCCTGATAAAGCAGATAGTCCCTGCTGCGCGACTAATAAACAAAATGGTGACTCGAATGATGTTTGCACTACAACCGGGCTTTGTGTCGCGCAGGTCGAGCCTTATACCGGCCTCGTTCTGCAGAATGGTTGCACGGATTCAAGCTGGAAAAGCTCCAGCTGTCTCAATATTTGTCCCGGCTGTAAGATTCTAGCTTCTTCTGCGATATTTTGAACCATACAGAGTCAATGGCTAATCATAAGTCTGTCGCCTACAGCAATGAAACCAGATTACGGCATCCACATTCTCCCCTGTCCAGATAAGAGTCTAAAGCACTGGTGTTGCAGCCTGAATGGCTCCGATTGTTGCGACAGTGCATTTGAACTCGATATGGGTACATTGATGCTTTCTTCAAACTCAACAAGCCCAAGTAGCTTAGCTGCTGCATCCGCGACTGTGACAGCAACAACTACTGCCACAGTCACAGCGGGCACAGGCACCGACTCATCTACCTGCAACGGCGACTGCCATGCAGAGTCCACTACAATTGCCGTTGGTGCTGGCGTGGGCGCCGGGCTTGGCGCATGTCTTGTGGCGACTGTGTGCCTACTTGTTTTCCAGAGACGTGCGTATCAGAAGAAATTCCATGAGATGAAGGCTTCACAATCAGGCGCGTATCCACACGTTCAGCAGTATGGGCCTTTCGTGCCTAAAAGTCCCGTGGAGCTGCCTCTGAACCAACGTCCTACGGTCTTTGAAATCGATAGTGAGCGTCCGGCGCGGCCGGAATGAGTAGCAGTTGTTCTGTTGTATATAGCGCTGTAAAAATGTTTATTTAATGTCTTACGATCTTACGATGTTTTAAGAAGAAAAAGAAGGACCCTCGGCATGTACCGGAACATTCACAGCTCGTAGTGAAATGAACCCCTAGTTCGCGATTTTCTAGCTCTCGAGCTAATTTATTTCCCCTCTTTAATAAACCAGGGTCTTTTCGCTAAGGAGACAATTATTTCCAAATCTAGCCTCGAACTGCTGCGCCGCCGGGTCCATTCCAGCCTTCTTGGCTGTAGCGCCCCAACAACAAGGCCGAAGTCTCCACCCAAGTGGGCGATCCTCCGAGGTACGCGCCCAGTCAGGATCAGAGTATAGCCGCCAGGGAGTTTGTGGTTTATTAAGCCCATCACTCTATCCAAAAGAGCCGTGCAGCCACCGCTGTAGAATCTGAGTACATACTGCATACACACCATGACAGCCTCCATCCCCAGTAGACTTCAGTGATGAATATTTCATAGGACAACAACCCCAAGCAGCGAGGCCTTTTAGAAATATAAAGGATCATACAGTTACAACGGTGGAGGAATATATTTCGACTAGACTAGCTTTCTACGGAACTAAGCAAGGGATATGGGCCGTGGGAGTATAGAATGACCGTACGACATGACAAGGAAATGCTATATCGCAGAAATAGGGTTTCCAGATCACTGTGTCTATGGCTTCATGGATACTTCATCGACTGTTAGCAATCTTGAGTGTACCGACATTCTTGAGACAACGTTCGAGCATTATTCTCCATAGGACGAGAAATACATACCATGACTATTTTCTCTCTTGGTTTATTTCCTTGCTCCTTTACTCTTTCGTACTTTTTCCGTTACTTGTTTATTTTGTTCCTCTTATAGCTTCGTTTCAATGTGCAGGCCATAGTTAACTTCTCGGGATATCGCGGAGCTGTACATGTGCTCTTGTGCTACAACATCACCGTCGATTAGCATCAGGCCAATTCTAACTGATAGGGCTTTCGACAATATATGTATCATGTTCAAAGCCGCAGGCCTAGCACCGTCTGATCCTGCTGGCAGGCGGGCAACAACAACAACAACAACAACATAGTATTCACCAATGTGGCCGAGAGTGCACAGGTTGGAGTAACAGTCATCCCGAATTAGTCTTTTGACAGTCTCGTTCGCTCCTTATAGCTAACAAGTGATGTGACCTAACCAGATAGTCAACCTTTAGCGCTGCGGCTTGACTATGTTGGGGAGTTTATAGCCGTAGTGGATGTCGACGCTGAGAACTCGTTTAATAACAGCAGCTCCATGTCTCGATTTGCTTTCCGCCTCCCGTTCTGGGTAACTGCATGAGTGGCCCAAACTCCTAGTGTTATGGCCCACTTTAGTGGGCTCACAATGTGGACAAAAGTACTGGACAAACGGAGTATGAAACTCAACTGTTTGCTTCTAGTCTCCACTATGAGTACTTCCATCCTAGCTAGCATCCTGGTGAGAAACCCTTTATGCAGGGGCTCAGACCAAGCAGCGACACCTCCAGTACCCCATGAGGCTGAGACTCTCAGATTGATGCAATAGCTCCTCGCAGCCTTCTCTCACTCAACGCTTTGCTTTGAGTATGAAAGCCCCACCGCCGAAAGCCCAACGGACACGAAAAATTTGACCTCTACGGTCGAGCCTACGTGAGAACAAAAGTTGTACACTGGGTCCCATCTCATAAGACTTTGCTTCCAAGCCATTTCCTATACGTAGTAAGAACCCAATGAGAGCATGACTGCTGGTCTAGATTTACCTTGTCTCTCCACGAGTGTGTAGAGTTGGACCACCGCTTGAATACGTTATTATCCTACTCACTTATAACCCACACCAGATGGAAGCATCAAGAAGTGAGAGATAATTGCGGGTAGGAGCGATGCACACTTGTTCAGGAGTCATGGCTATTTGTTCCGCCCATCGGCCGCGAATGAAAGACTCTTTTTTTGACGTCGAACCGACCAGGTGAGGACGAAGGAAACTTATTTTTCCTATTTTATGCCGGGAAGCCATTCTAATTATTTCTAAAGAATGGTAGTCGTTCAAGAAGCCTAGCTGTGAACAGAATATAAATCCGCGGTCGCTCTAATGTCTTTGGCAACCCTGATCCGTGCTTAATTAGAAGAGATTACAGCAAACATGTCTCCCAATACCCCAGACAATCTCTATGGAAACTATTACCGAGTACGCTAGCAAGCCAGCCGTTCCTGTCAGTACACTAGCGAGCCGTATATCCGCTGGATAGATTGCTCTAGGCTCTGAATCCGTCCAACCGCAAGTGACTCTGGGGACCGTTGGCAAATGTTCTGGGACTGGGCATGTTCTTCACGGTCTCTGAACTTTCGGGGTTTGGATAGGAAAGCGGATATATACGAGAACTTTTAAGCGAGCTGTAGTGGCAAGATATCATTTCAGTAAGATACGCTGAATGGACTACGACAGACTCCGTACAGTGCGGAGTAGTGGCCCATTTAATAGCACCATTTTCAGTGGAGATAAACCCCCTCCATTGTACTCTACGGAGACTCGAAACCTGTCATCTGAACATCTACCAATAACATTTATCGTGCTCGTCCAACGCCAAGACCTATTGATGTTACATTAATTTGCGTCACTTATTGGCTCCATTATTATTATTATTATTATTATTATTATATTTTTAGGAAAGAAAAAGGAAAAGAAACAAAGAAATAAGAAATAACATCCTCCTGTCAGCGGTTTCCTAGTAACCGGCGGTGGGTTGTGTTGAGATTCATTAGACGGCGTGATAACCGGGAAACTTACCTCCCATTGTCTTTAAAGGCAGCCCGTGTACCGAGCATTCCAACGGGGGGTATTTTAGATTTCTGGGATTAGGGAAGACGTAGAGTGGTAGCCTGGTCCGGAGGCGCCTCGGCCCTAAAGTTAGGGAGTTCATACTTAGTATTGTGATCGCTCGGCGTTTACCCTATAAGGTACGGCGCGCAACCCTAGCCGCTACACTAAATGCGGCGGCACCTCGGGCTGGTGCTGTGCGTTAGGGCCCCTATGCCCATATTCCCATTGGCTTTACATTTTCTCCGTCTGAATCACATATACGGAGTACTGCGTTCGGAGATGCTTCTTTATTTTTAGAGATATACACATGGACAGGTAGTTGGAGGTGAAGTACACAGTACCGAGATTACTGTAGACTATCTGCGCTTTGCTCAGGAATGACGAGCTTGTTGATAATCGTCCGGTTAGGTTGAGTCTTGTGTGCTCACGCTAAAGGCGGGATGAGACAATGGATGGATGCGCATCCCTGGTCAGCGCCCCTCATGGGCCTGATGTTTCCTTTGTGGTGGACTATCGGTTTCGAAATTAACTACCTCAGGGTGTAAGAGACTCGTTGGGCCCTTGTGTTGCTTATCCTGCTCTTGTTGTTGCGTCGGACGCTTGACACGTCCCAGGTCATTATCCGAACTATGTGGAATATTGGAAAGCGCAGCATCAGGATGAAAGTCATGGCGAGATGTCTGGTGGCTGCCATCATTTTAAGCACATCCATCTTCTGGAAAGGGAGTCTGCACTCTGGCCCCCTCTCGAGCACTCCACTTCGCGATACTCGGGCTCAGCTTTCGCATCATCTGTATCCTTTGCTCGAGGAACACAGGCCTCAATGTTCTCCACCCGCATTACACAGCAACGCAGGGTTGCATAGATTCAGTTCGATCATCAGTGCACCACAAAAGAACTATCTCGTTGATCCTGAAGGGTTTGTAGAGCCAATGCAGGTAGCCCACGACGGCTTTGTGCAAGCCATTCGAAACACTCGGGTCGAACGTGCCTATATAAGGGGAACCAAAGGCATTGTTTCGTCCGCCGGGGGAAAGTATCTTCCTACGTTCATCATATTTCTGCGCTTGCTGCGACGAACCGGCGCGAGGCTGCCGGTAGAGCTTTTTGTCAAAGACTGGATCGAGTATGAACCGTACATATGTGAGGTAGTTCTACCCTCGCTGAATGCGAAATGTGTCGTCCTTTCCGAAGTTTTCACAGGCCCCAATGAGGGAAAACACAACCTCGAACATTTTCAACTGAAGACATTCTCGATTTTATTCTCGTCATTTCAGGATGTGATCTGGATGGATGCAGACTGCTTTTTTCTATATGACCCTACCAGCCTATTGACCTCCAAGCCATTTACTTCCACGGGTCTTGTTACCTGGCCTGACTTCTGGTCTTATACAGTATCTCCCACGTACTACAACATTTCTCGCCAAGCCATAATCGCTACGACAACCCGACAGTCCACTGAGGCCGGCATGTTTTTGATCTCAAAAAAGACGCATTATATGACTATCTTGCTCTCTGCCTACTATAACTATCATGCATCCTATTATTATAGAATGATCTCCCAAGGAGCCCCGGGTGAAGGTGATAAGGATACCTTCATTCTAGCTGCGAGTGCGCTTGGTGAGAACTTTTATACCGTCAGTGAAAAGGTAGTGGATTTGGGGCACCCTGCACCTGATGGGGGCGTGTTAGGCGCTGCCATGCTCCACGCGGATCCCATAGAGGACTACGAACTTACACGCCAGGGCCGGTGGCGAGTGAGAGATGAGTCTGTTGCTAAAGCGCCTCGCGGCTACTGGGTGCATGCACATAGCCCGAAGTTCAATGCTGGAGAGGACCTATTTAGCAGAAAAACCCGGGACGAGGACGGTCAACCTGGCCGAGCTTATACTTCCAAAGAGGATACGCTCAAACGGCTTGGATTTGATGCGGAACGAGCTATTTGGGAAGAGACTAAGACCGTTACATGCACCCTGGAGCATGCGTTTGAATCCTGGAAGACAAAGGTTGGGTTATGCGAGTCAGTTACCAAGCACTGGGATGCTGTGTTTGAAAGCCCGTCAACGCAGCTTTATACGTTTACAGATGCTTGATCGAATCCCAATAACAACTAGGCTAGCACTATCGTCCTATACAGCAGTCATATAGAGGGTG